CACTTCCCTTTTGCTCCTGTTACGATTTGCCATTCCGCCTCTGTGGAGAAGTCAGCTCATTTTTTAGTGTTCTCGTTAAAGCAAAATTACACGGCAGTATTTAAGGAAAATAAGAGCAATTCATTACGAGGAATAGGCCAGGCTGTCATCCCTGTCCTGTGAACGTCCCAGGTTTAACGTAGCAATGCCACACTATGCACAAGACCACCAAAAGTAAACAAACCCACTTCTTTTGGCAGTGGGATCATCTCACAGAGAAGGGACCAAACTGGAGAACTGGAAAAAGCAGCCAGTGGCAGCAGCCCTGGCACCAGCAAGGACAGTGAAGAGAAGACGATCATCAAACGGCTGTAAGTTTGCATCTTTTTTGGCAGAATATGGTGCGCTTCATACTTGGTGACTCCAGGGATGAGTTCTGAACTTCGGCCTAGTTGGCTGGATACCGTCTTCTCCACTCCCTATAAAATCAAAAGGGCACAGAGGAGGCTTTTCCTGTGGAAAAAGCACTGCACGGGATGACAACCTCCACCCAGGCAAGCAGGGCATCAGTTTTTTCCTAGGAAAAATAAGCATTTCAGAGCAAAACTATGCGATACTTGCCCCCCCGCTGGCACATCAAGGCTCCGCTGTGGGAACGTGGCAGCTGTCCCCGGAGGTTTGTTGACAGTGCATGAAGCAGCTGCGTGCAGTACCCACAGCCCCAGGCTGCGTCCCTGGAGCCCCCAGAGTAGCAGAACACGTTGACACAGCAGTCTCGCTGCATGTTCCTTCTTTTCCAGTTGTACATTTCTGTTTCCTGCTTTGTTTTTTTTTTTAGGTTCTCTTTTAAACACGGAAAATGAGCATCTTCAAGAACTTCTGTTCAGAAATGGCACTGATGAGAGCCTCTAAGGCGTTAGGGGAGTCAATGACTGAAGAAAAAGCATCACTTCTACTGTAGAGAATAAGCAATCTCAAAAATTATGTTGTATAATATTCTTTCAGACTAGATTTTACATTGCTTTTTTTAGAAACTGTTTCAGACACTTTTTGTATTCCTAGATTCCTGTCAGACATTACCCACAGAGAATAAACATTTATACAAAGGTGGTTTTTATTCTTCCTGCGAGAGCCCGTGATGATCTGTACTACCACTTGTTTAGCCTGTCCACCTCTCAGCCCAAATGATTTTGCAAGATGAAGATGTATTTAAGGCACACATACACTGGGAAAGTGCTGAGCAGGAAGAACCCATTCAGACTGCAGTCCCTGCTGCTCTCATGCAGTAATTTTCTTACGCTGACACAAACAGCTGGAAGAAACCCCCAGCATTGCTGCTTGTTCCGTGTCTCTGCATGAGAGGGGTGACACATGGGCAGCAGCAGGCAGAAACCTGTCACACCCCAGCACAGGAAGATGCAGTTGGGCTGTGACAACAGAACTCCTGCACAAACAGGAGTGGTCATTTTGGGTTGAGATAAAGGTGGTGGAGAAGAGCACAGCAAGGGAAGAGCAGCTGCTGCATTGTGCTCTGCCCACACAAAGGACTGATGTGTTTTAGAGGTGCAGACATGCTCAGACTGGAACAGATGCACCAAACATCTCATTTCTGACAGCTAAAGGTCTCCTGTGGTAGACACCTGTGTTTCTCATAAGCTCTGTTCTTTCAGTCAACTGTCACAAGCTGTGTATCAGCCCAAGTAATGAGATTTATCACTGGTAGAAGCATATGGGGCAAACAGAGGAACAGAAAAGAAGCTTGAAAGATACCAATTAGTTTCCACATTTAGAAAAGAAGAATTTCAAGTGCTGAAAAGTCTGAACAGACATAAAAGGAGCAGTGACAGGTATCAAACTATGATCTTGCTCTCTTCAGAAGTGAAAGCAGGCTCTGAAGCCTTTTGATTCTCTCTCGTACACTAGCAGCATGAAAAATATAGGACACTCCACACATCTGCTCAGATGCACAATGCGAACGCGGCTTTGCAGAAGGTAGAACTGCAGGCTCCTTTCAGAGGGAATTTGTTAGCGAGGCAGCATCAAAGAGGCCTGACCCTGCTTGAGCCATGGCCCAGAGCTGCTCAAGTAACTTTGCAGTCTTCAGAATATTAATAAGCCTTGGCCATGACTCTGTGATGTATTTCCTAGAGCATGGTAGCAGGGAAGGAAGTTACTGCATTTCCTTAACAGAGGCTTTGTTTAGAGGGGAAAAAAGTAGACTAAAGGAAGAAAGAAAAACCAACCCAACCCCAAAGAGCCGTGCACCAGCAACAGCCAGGATACCGCTCTGCGCTGAAGAGGTGTTTGTGTGCTCTAACTCCATCCTCTTCTGTGCTTTATCCAGGGATATATTTTCCAATCTCCTTTTAAAAAGGGGCCCAAAAACCACAGTGATCACTCTACTAAGTCCTAATGAAGCAACTTCAGGTAATAAGCTGCAGATTAAACAGAGCTGTACAAAGGTAACAACCTGCCAGAGAGGCACAAAAACGCAGCCCTAGACCACTCCTGGCAGTTAGTGGAAGAAGACAATAATGAAACCTGCAGTTATTCCTTTCAGTTTACTATTTAAGATGTTCTTTATTTAAAAAATAAGCCATTTTTTTTAAAGTGTGAGTTCACCAGTTGAGACAGAAAAGCCCCTCACCCTTTTTTGGGCAAGTCTCTTTCGGGAACCATCACAGCTGCATCTGCTCTGGTGCCAGGTTTGCTGCACAGCTTCTCTCCCCAGAGGGGAGCAAATGCCCTGGCTGCAGCCCTGGAGCAGCCCCGCTGCTGTGGGCAGGGCCACACCAGCCCGGCACAAGCAGTCAGTGCCCAACCCAGGGGCATCTGTCCCTGCTGAGCACTTTGCACCTCGTCAGAAGATGAAACCTTCCTGTAAGGCACTGGGATAAAAATCCAAAGAGCACGTTTCTGCAAAAAGTCTTCTGATTTTATATATATACACAAATATCTATAAAGATATATATATAAAATATCAATCCCTAGAAAAGTAAAGGATACATACTCAGTGCAACACCAACTTTATTACCATCTTCCGATGCAGTGCTACTCAATTACCAGTTAAGTGTTTCAGATGAGACAATTTTCCTTTCATGTAAAATAGGGATAGGTCTTCCCTCTCTCGTTTACAAAAGAGGTTTCAAGTTATTTAACCTGATAGAGAGAACAAGCAAATATTTAAATAGTTTTAAAGCAGCAGCAGCATTTTATTCTAACTCTGACTTAAGAGAAGTGCTCTAGTAAAACAGGACACTGTACACTGCTGTAGTCTCTGTTATTGAGACCAGAGAAAAATCAGGACCAACTCGAATAAGTCAGCCGAGGCAGCTTACCTGTAACTCAGTACATGTAACAGGTCTCCAGTTAATTCTTCGGAAACAGTGAAAATACACAGGCTGTCTCTGATGAGTTTGCCTTGTGTTAAGTGGTAAATAATACAGAGCAATTTTCACAGCTTTCTTTCAAAATGCTCATGATCTGCAATGGAGACAGGTACTATAGCAGCCACTTCATCAATAATAAATATATCCTTTATTTTACAGAGACATTGTCTTCAAGTTTTAATTTAAAAAATACATCACTAAGCCACCTCTCTTGCTGCTGGAGCGTACAACCGGGATGTTGTTGCTATCTGACTTATCACATAGGCAAGCACGTAAGATTGTCCTAGAGGGCATTAGCTGGAACAGCAGCAGCCTTCAAGACGCAGGAACAGAAGACGTTAACAGAGCCACAGATCCCTTGCTGACATCTTCCAGCAGCAAGCGTGGCTGATGGCTCACAGCCATCTTCATCTACACACATGCCAAGCCTGCCTTGGCAAAAATTCCAACTGGTAAGGATTCATCTTTAACATAAAGGACCTGCATTGCATTGCCCGCCTATATCACAGATTTGTTTCTTCAACAGTAACGTTACAAACATCCACAAGATGCTGAGCACTCGACTCCCATCGAAGACGGTGGGACCAGACTGTGCTGGACAGACCTACAGGACCGGGCAATAAGGAATCTACTTTCTTCATTGCATGAACTCCGTTGTTACAGTTTGAAGCTGCATATGAAGATTACTCCTGTTTTTGGAACTGCTCTGCTCTACTTCAAGCATTCACAGTAAATAAATAGCTTCTGATGTGGCTAAATTAGCATAGGAAGGTCATAAAAAATTTTTTTGGAGAGAGCTTTTTCCTTTACTTCTCTAAAATCCTCTGGGAGACACCTCCACGAATCAGCCATCAACGATAAAAAGGTACCATCTTAAATTGTATAAAATAAGTACTGTCAAACATTGATTCTCACTGTGAAGGTCTAGCTCCACATTTCTAATTGGTATTAACCCAGTCTATCAAAATCCATCCTCATTTGGCTTGGAGTCATTTCTCTGAAGAAAGCAGCCAATGTGACCATCCATTTCCCTCAGCGCCAGTGCATTTGAAGTACACTGCCAACACGAGATAGGACACTGGGAAAACTGGATCCCTACCACAGGTTACTTGAGAACAGTAGCATCCATCTCAGAGAAGCCTGCCAGCACTGGGCTGTAAAAGGCAGCCAGACGAGCAGTCAAGTCACTGGATGTACGAGTGAGAGTACGGAAGCACATCTGCTGTCACACAGCCGGTGCCAAGTTCATCACCCCACAAAGCGGAGCGTGAGATTTCATCGCAAAAGCAGAAGCACAACCCACGTGATTAAGTTTCTGTGCGAGTCTTTGACTGCATGCTCAAGTGGCACTGGTCACTACGCAGAAGTATCCAGATTTTAGGGAGGGTTTCCTTTTATGATGTCAAAGTTTTGGCAATCTAAGATCAGTTATTCAAGCCTGCCTGGAAAACCATAATAGGTATTTAAATACTGCAAAGCAAAAAAGGTAGTTTTTAAGGAGCTCAGAACACCATAATCAGTCCACTAAAAGCTGAGAGAAGTGAGGACAGGGAAAAAAAATTCCACTGACTCCTTGTAGAGCACTCAGTCCAAAAAAAAAAAAAAGCCAAAAACTCAAACAAAGAAGATGAATTAGTGTTTCAGCCATGGATGAGCTGCAATGGAAGCTTTGCTTCTGTCTCCATAGTCGTACAACAGTTCTTCACCTGCTTTAATGTCTCTGGAAGCTATCAGTATGAGATGAGGCACACCATCGATGTCGTGAAGCTTTGTCTGACAATTGCCACATTTGCTGTGATTAATCAGTCTTCCCAGACGATCGGTTTCTTTTGTAGCATCAACACTGAAAGGCAAGAACAGAATGCAGGATTGCTGCGTATCATGCACTCACGTTTGTGAGCAAAAACCAAAGCACAAATCAGATAAAGAACGAGGGGTGAGCACTACAGAATATTGTGTGGTTAAACAGTGTACTATGGCAACGTAGGTGACCTAAAGCAATCCCAGGAGATTTTTCAGTTAGCACAAAAGCCAGGAAGCGGGCAGCTTTGGACTGGTTTTGAGCTGCCTGTTTCCAAGCAGCTCTCACCCCGCTCATGAGGAACAGCAGAAGCCAGACGCAGACCACCACCAGAAAGGCTTGATGCCATAAATGCCCTCCCTCAGGAAAGCTATGTCCAAGCTAAGCCAGCAAGAGTCTCTGCTCCCACTGAAGGCTGAGAATGCCTAAGTACTACGTGCCCAGCTTCCAGAGACCTGGATACCAAAGCTCTGGGCAGTAAGGGGCACTAAAGACTTGTGGCAGCTGTCACTATGGCATCTAGACTGCAATCAGACACTTAAGAACACAGGGTGCTCCGAGGTAACTGGTGACAGGTTTAGTGACCCACACTGCAGTATCCAGGAATACTGGATTAAAAAAAAAAAACCAACAAAAATCTGCATGAAAACAAGGAAAGACTTAGCAGCATTCAACACCTCTTTCACTGAACTGTCACACTAAAGAGGAAGAGAAACTTACCAGTACGTTTTGCTGAGGTACTGAAAATAGTACATATAGCAGCCTGTGGATGGGTCTTGAGCATACACAGCTTCTCGCTTTTTAGCATCAGTGATCTCTATGAGATCCCCGTGATACTCAACTACAAATTCTCCTCGATTAAAGTGTTTAGTAGCGATTACTCCTCTCCCTTTGCCATCGATGTAATCAATCTGTTGAGTTGAAAAGAAAATCAGCTGGGGAATTAGGAAGTGTTTACACAACTGCAAATCTGCTGTCCACGTGGAAATGAGTGATTTGTCATTAAAAAATACTACAGCAAGGTATTTGTGTGTACTGAAGACTGAGGCTGCACATACAGATTCTTCAGAGCCAAATACTGCCCACCCAGTGGGAAAGACAACGTGCTCCAGTTTTGCTGCACTTTCATCTTACTATGGAGGAACTGCAGCGCTTCTGAGACCAAATTCTGCTACTTTCTGCTTAAAACAGAGTAAAAGCAAGGTACTGCATAAACAGTGTGTGGCTACTCAGGTTGGCACTGCTGTTACCTTCATTCCTTCTTCTTTCCCACTTGTAATTAGCTCATCTATTTTCCTCCTCTCCTCAGTCTGCAGAAGAAACAAGAACAAATAAAAGCACAATATTGATGACAGTTTTTGTAACTTATTCTATAGGTAAAAGGAAATTATTAGCCAGTGACACTCATGTTTCCAAACCACCCCTAATTTCGAACAGAAGTGAATAGCAGAGAGACAGATTGCTGCCCCATCAAATGTATAAGCATCTAGAGTCTATCCTAAAAGAACTGGATCAGCACTTCCAAGTTTTAAGCACGTTAAAAACATTTCCAGTGCACAGCACAACTCGTATGTGACCAATGGAAATAATTTACAGATAGTTACACACTTCATCAAACATTCAATCAACCAGCAACACTAAGGAATGTTTTTTAACAGGAAGCACTACCTCCAGTTCAGATTTGCTCTTCCTGGAACTTCTTCTAACTGGGTAATAATCTGTCACTTTCCGATTTGGTGGTCTTCCTTGTGTTCTGCGGGATAAGAAAGTAGAGAACGCACGTATTTCAGACTGCTGGTGAAGTTACAGCTCTAGGACCAAGCTGTCTGTAAGAAATGTTGATTTTCAGCTCGGTTTGCTGAAAGGTGATCAACGTGAACCAGTGTTTCTTATCAGTACTCGTCACTGCAAGCCAAGAGCCTGATCCTCTTTTCTACCTCACGCCATTTCCATTATTCCAGTCCTCATCCCTTAACACGAAGAATGAGAGGCCACTGGAAGCCAACTGAAGGTCACATTACAAGTCTGAAGCCCGCTGTGTGCCTTGCCAGAAGGAACTCTCAAAATTCGGGCATGAAAACTGCCTGGCCAGGAATTCATTAGTGCTAGGCCACATTACTGTGGTATCATGAGAAAGAGCATCAGCCCAGCCAGGAAGTCTCCAACTGTAATTAATATTCTGTTTCTGATAAAATACATTCCCATTTGCTCACAGAAAAGTTGCTCTTAATGGTTCATTAATTTTTGCCTAGAGGTGATGAGCAAGTATTTCACCTGAGGTAAAATACACTAGCCTTGTTTTCAAGAGAAGCAGAAGTTCTCTGCAAGGCAGAGAGACACCCTGGGTGCAGTTTTGTATTTTCAAACATACTATTCCTGAGAAAACAAAGAAGCGTCCTTTAAGATTTGTCCCCCTCAACATAAAAATTTGCTTAAAAAAGGCAACAAGAGCAACCATTAATTACAGGTCTGACTGTAGTTCCTGAAGGAAAAATGCAGCTCAAAGCCTCCTGATGCAAAAGGACGTACAGAAGAAAAGCGTTTATTATTCCAGAAGTCACTTACTTCCTCCTTGGTCCACGTTTTACTTTAACCATCTTTTTCTGAGCTGGCTTTGCATTGGCCTCACCAGCACAGTCTGAAGGCAGAGGTGTCTTTTGAGTTTCTACAGTTTCTGGGTTTTGATCAGAGGAGGGCACTGAAGCATTGCGCCCACCTTCTTTATCTTTCTGGTCTTCTGGTTTCATAGCACCTTCGATTATATTGCCACCATTCTTTTTGCCTGGCGACAGGAAAAGAAAGTAAGGCTCTGAACTTGGGATCACCCATACCAGAGTGCTTTACATGAACTCCAGTGGTTTCCATCCAAGTTTCTAGCTCTGCCAAACAGGAGAAAGGGGACGGGAACGATACAACCTCTTTCTGCTAGAGCACCGACAGGCATTGCTCAGCGTGTGACTGCTCAGTGCTGCAGTGCACCTAGCACAGAGGGAAGGGTGAGCAGAGAAAGGGAAAGGGTAGAACAGAGCCCAGGTATTGTCATATCAGGCTTGTGACTCGGGATTTTCCAAACTTGACCACGCAGTGTTTGGCACAACCGCCCAGTTTGCATCTGGCACACCCCATCATCAGGCTGCCACAAGCTGTTGAGCATCCTGCACTGCCAAGGGAGAGAAAGCCCCTCTGCACCCTGCACTGCTGCAACCGGGAGCTGCAGGCACCGGTACCATGTGGCCAACACCACTCACAACATCCACGGGAGCTCAAGGGGTGGCGTTGCAAGAGGTCGACCCCACACATAACCAATGTTGTCTTGCTTGTGTGCGTCCTACCTTGCTATGAACACATTCTCCTCCTCCAGCTGATTAAGTGAGCATGGCTTAAAGCTGAATCAACCTTTTCTTTAAAGCAAATCACTAGGTTTAACAGTCTCTGCTGAGAAAGATGCTTTGATAGCACTGGAGAAATGAAGCACAGCTGCAAGGCCACAGCAGTGGGACAAGCTAAAGCCATCTTCACTTGTCGAAACTGGGGAGCTGTATTAGGGGTAAAGGCCCTAAGTTCCCAGAAAATTTGACACTCCCTGCATTGGGTGGGACTTAAAATGCCTACTTGCTAGAAGTCAGGAGTTTGCCAAAACCTTTAAACACAAATCAGCTTCCCGCCCCTCCATAAACATAGGGGACATTCCCATTTCTAGTCACTGAAGCCTAGCACCCAGCACCCACAATCTGTGCTCCTGCCTTTATTTCATCCTGAAAATTTAAGAATTGTCCCTTCTTCTGCCAGTAGGTCTACCTCATGTCTGGTTTAACTTTGAACTGCCTTTATATAAGTTAGTATAAAGTAGTCAAATTACAGAATAAACCACTTCTAGGTAATAAAGCAAACCACAGAGGAATCAAAAAAGAGATGAACTGCCAAACACTGGCCTAAGGAAGCAGAGTACTAACAGAATTGTGGGGAGATTAGGGCATATTGACAACGCAAGCATTAGTCTTTTATACCCAGAGAGACAATACAAACAGCCAGACAAAACAAAACAAAACAACCAGAGGAAAAATTGCCTGGTAAACCTGTGACCTAAGTTGTGAAAAGGATAAAGACACTGCTCTTTGCAGAGCCCCAGTTTGCTGCCAGAGCTGTAGGACTGCCAAAGCAACTGGGCCCAGCGAGCCGCTGGTGGTAAAGTTTTCAAGCTAGGGGTGAGGGGAGCACATTTAATGAGGTGAGCGATCCAAAGTTCAATCTTACCAATCTTACCATCTCCTTTCCTGTAGGTTTCGTTTAGTGTTTTGCCCTGACATTTCACCTCGTGATACATGACAGAGTTTTCTTCTTGAAGTGGGGGGCGAGCACCAGGAGTTTTGGTAGGATTCAGGTAGCTGTAGATTTTGGATTGACCAATAAACGCATTCTCCTAAAACAGACCCACACAAAAAGCAGTCTGTCAGAGAGGCCAGGTACCTCAAGTTGGTACCCACACCACCGCAGAGAGCAGGGCCGGCAGCTGACCGTGCCTCCTGCTGCTGCTGCTGCTAAGTGAAAACATAACGGCGCTGAGCACTCAGATCCTCAACGCAAACTCTCAGTCCAACAGGACTTTCATATGAAACGTGGCAGGATGGGGCAGTCGTAACTAACTGCAGCTTCCACCCTGTGCTTCGCAGTGTAACAACAATAAATGAGAAACCCCAACCCTGAGCTCCTCGGGAGGAAGGCAGCCTTTGAAGACTGCAAGCCAAGAAAATAAAACCAAAAAACCACCAACAAACAAAAAAGCCACAGCAAAAACTGCCTAAGCGAGGAAGGTACCTCTCCCAGCCAGAGAGGTGCGAGCTTACCCAAACACTCTCGGGAGGTGTCAAATGTTACTGCAGTTAATTATATGCTCTGCTGAGCAGCAGAAAAGACAGGAATCAGTTTTGCACACTCTACCTTGCGTGACAGCTCCCAGTGAAGCCTAGGAGATAAACAATGCTATATTTTTACCCATTATATTTGACAAAATAAAGCGTAAAAGTTGTTCATTACAAAAGCAACATAAAAGAGTCTGGGCAAACCACTTCTGCCCAGCCAGGAAAATGGTAAAACAGCACAGAGAGCGGGGTTTGCACGCTGGCTTGGGCCCCGAGAACGCCAACAGGGAGCAGTATCAAATTTAGCCAAGTTTAGTGGAGTCGTGCCACCTTTGCTTCTACGTCTCCTGCCACCTCACCAAGTTTGGCTGTGCAGTGTATGTAGGGCACACAGATCTCAACTGTGAAAGCTCAGGGTGTGGACAAGCCGATGCAACTTGGCCAGAGTGAGTTTGTCTTGGCTACGTTTTTGACTCAACTAAAAGCAATTTTCAGACATTGTAAGGCAGTTAAAACATCAAAAACATGCATCCATTTTTTAGATAAGCACACAAAGGTTCCCATTAGTTAAAAAATAGCTCAAATATAGCTGACTAAACAAATACTCCTGTATATGTAGTCACACAAACTCTAAAAAAAGTAAACAAAGGACAGAATAGAATACATAGGATAGCTTTAATAATTAACATAATGAGTAACAAACTTCACGTGTACAGAATTCACACACAAAGTAAGACCAGTAAAAGGCTCAAGTCTTAGTCCACAAATAACCTTTAGTAAAGATTAAGATCACAGTAGAACAGCCTGAGAAAAAGCAAGTCTGTTTGACACTCCCTGACCTCCAGATTTGCTGAAAGACACGACTTTTAAAAAACTGGGGCTTTTAAGGGTGAAATACAATGAAAAGGGTCCATTTTATCAGTTGCAAGCAGTGAACGTTGCACTGCAAAGTTCTCAAGATTTAGCGAAGAGTGTAAACATGGGCATTTCCAGAGAAAGCCAGAAACGGCAAACTGCAGCAGTCCACCTGCCAGCAGAGCCTTCTGGCTTTGAATGCACCATTAACAGGAAACGAACTCTTCTAACACAGCTTCCTCCCCTCATTCCCAGCTCCCTGCCTGCTGCGCTCCTGGCGCTGCCGGGATGCGGCTGCCACGTCTTTGT